TTCTATTTAGTAATATTTCTTAGAAGAAATTTTGGAGCCATCAATTTTAAAACCCTGCCATATTGTCACATCTCAGAAGAATGATCATGTGAGTTAGCATTCCATCAGTGTGATGAAGTATTTGAGAAAGTCAATTTAACAGAGGAAAAGTTTGTTTTGTCTTAACACTTGCAGAGATTTCAAGTCACGGTCACTTGGTTCCAGTATAAAGGAGAGAGAGAGAGAGAGAGAGAGAGAGAGAGAGAGAGAGAGAGAGAGAGAGAGAGAGAGAAGCAGGGGAGAGAGAGAGAGGCAGGCAGGACAAGAACCAGGACCAGGAAAAAAATACCCCCTTCAAAGGTAGGCCCTCAGCAACTTGCTTCCTCTGTCTAGGCCCCACCTACTAGCATTTCCACCATCCTCCAATAGCACCACCAGCTGGGGAGCAAGATTTCAACACATGAGGAGTTTTGGGAGGACACTTAATATTCAACCATAACAAATGAGAATTTAGATGTTAGTACAAGTTCTGGTTTTACACTATGGCTCACTTTTAAAGAACCTATTCTTCAATTCAATGAGATTTGACTGTGCTTTTGAGAATCCACTTTATTCTTCCTGTAAGCTCTTACCTGAGTAGCCAGGCTCCTTGGAACCCAGGGACCAGAGAGGTGAGAAATACTAAGTAGGAATGGATTTCCTGGGAAGAGAATGTACCTATCCAAGGAAATCAGAGGGGGTAGATTCTGTTACTCAGGTATGGTCTGGAACCAGAGATCCCCCTGTACACCAGAAGGAAATTAAAGACTTATGTTTAGATAATGAGAACGGTTAGTTTGTGCATGAGGAGACAATTTCAGGAACTGGTCTGTCTGATTAGACTGAGTGTTTGGGTGGGTCTGATTTGGAAAGACAACATTGGAAAGTGAGAGAGAGTGGTGTCCTCCACAGGGACAGATATGGTGAAGGCAGACAAAGGGATTGTGACAGAACTAGCTTTTAACCTTGTAATTCACTGGTGGCTCTCTGCAGTCAAGCTGCTTGGTGGAGGAGCACTAGGCACCCTCTGACACTGTTACATTTTAAGAGATTAGAGTGTTTCTATAGGCTACATTCTCTATTGTCATCTGCCAATCTCAGGCTGTCCTCAGATGCTGGTAACTGCATCAGCTTGGTTCAGAAGGCACTAATTACAACTTTGCCTGGAAAGCTCCCTTTACCCAGAGAAAATATAAAATAGTTTTCAGCCAGTTTATAAACACAATGTTTAATTTGCTAGACTTGAAGTACTTGTATCTTATTTGCAACCCTTGCCCCATCTTCACCGATAAATGTACTTTGATGTTGTGCAACTGTACCCAAAGGAAGTAGTTTAAAAGTGGCTATGATGAAAACTAGTAGCTAAGTCAATTTAGGTTTTTCAAAATGACTCAAACAGAATTACAGAGACAATCAACCTGGTCAGGTTGAATTTTCACAGCCCAGTTGTCCTTCTTTCTGAATTATCTGTTTTGTCTCATTTCCTGGAAAATCATAATGAAATTGTATCTGTGGACTTCAGTGTTTGGGGGCAAGGGAGGCTGAGCGGATTGAGTGGTAAATGTCTCATCCCTCTGCAGTGTGTGAAGTGCTTAACAAACCTGTGAACTGAAAAATCCTGGTGTGCTGTGCTAAAGATAAAATCCAAAGTTCTTTAAATTAGATAAAAAAGAATAGAAATTGCAGACAACTGGCAAATATATTTTGTCCAAAGGTGTTTTTAACTGTAAATATTTAGGATAAGTTTGAAGTTTTCTTTCAAAATATCTTTAAAGTTATATCATTTTTCAAATTCAGAAAACACATAAAGGATCAGAATATTTCTCATTATGTGTGTAAAAATTTAGCTAGTTTGTTATGATAATCACTGGCAAAGCAGTTAAATTAAAGGAGAACTTCAAAAGGTGAAAGGTAATCTTGGCCATAAATATATATTATGTACATAGAAAATATGGAGGTTAGAATAGAAAAGATAAATGTCTAGATTTAAATTTAAAAATACAGATAAACTGAATATGACTTTATTTTAGAGGCTGTAAGGCCACAGGTCTAGGAAACGGTTACTGAGTTATTGTGAAGAGGCTGTTGTGTTCAGTGATGCCTTTTAGATTTTACTGTGCAGACTCAGTGTGTATACAGAATAGATGTGGGAAGGTGGGTGCTTTCTCCCTCCTTCACAAGCAGCATTCCAGTGGAAAGGTATGACTGTGCCATATTATTGCCCACACGAATATTTACCTCAAGATTTAAGCCTGCAGCTCTGGAAACTGCTATAAATACTCTAAAAATAAAAATATTGTGAGTATTTATATGTCATTTCTTTTCAACATATTTTTAATTTTTATTCCACATATGCTAGAAAAAATGAGTTACAATTTGTGTAATTGTGCTAAGTAGAAAAACCTTTTGGGATCTGAGGTTTCTCAAATCAACAAGAAGGTCAAAATGGATGTCATCACTGTTCATAGTGTATTTGGTTTGAAATATCTGGTTTTAATATTTTATAGTCATTTCATATGTTTAAGTGGTTTTTAATGTTATCACTAAAATGCTACCTAATTAATACATTTATGGAATCTATAAAAATGCACTGAGTGCCACAAATTCTCCTGCTGCTGTATTTATTTATAGCAATGTACACTGCTTAATGTGCGCTTTTATTTGAAAAGCATTTTTGTAAATGTTTGCTATTCGTGCTTTCTCTTTGAGGAGAGCCACAATCTTGTACCACCATTCAGTAGAAGAGACCATCAAAGCAATTAGTTTAAAAGTATTTCTCCATTTACCAGAAGATTTAAATTACTTTTAAAAATTATGGGTAAGATTTCTTGTCAATTATCTTAAGTGAGGTCCTGCAGAAACAAAACTGAGACAAGGGTTCCTAGAACAAAGGGTTTGTTGGAAGATGCTCTCCGGAGAAAGTTTGGGAAGGAGGCAGAATGGAGAGGCGACATTCCCTAAGCAGAGAGGAGATCTCAGTGGAGACTGATATCACCTCCAGTAGTTGGTCCCTTCTGGAAGCAAGTGGGCTGGCCATCTGTACACCGTGTCTGTCAGCATTGGTTGCAAGGTGCCCTGGAGAGAGGGTGGGAGAGTGACCTTTGGGGTGAGGCAGTTCACAACTGGCCCAGCGCAATTCTCTACAGAAGGGAGAGGCATCCATGAGTTATCAACAAGACTCACATCTTGGTGATAGAAATTAAGACTAATAAAAGAAATTTGCCTTATGAAACCATCAGTCTCATTATATAGATGAATGGCAATTTAAAAGAACAAAAACTTGTTCAACCTAGGTTCTATCACCTTCCCCTCCAGGGGACACACCACCCCACATACATCCATATTTTTTATTAAATAAAGGTGGACATTCAAACTGTGTGCAAGGTCCTTTGATTACAAGAAATTTAAGAAATATTAATGAAGGCAAGGACTGTAGTTCTAGTCTTGTGGTTGTTGTTGTTATTGCTTATGTATTGGAGAATTTATCTGGCTAACTTTGTTCTTAAAATGCTTTCAGTGTTACCAAGAATGAAAATGAGTTCTTTGAGAGAGAACCTTAGATAATGTCCATGAAAACCTGAGAATATTTGAAAGGCCAAGTGCACTCAGCCAGCCTTTTTCCTGGCTTAATTTTCCTACTTGAAATGCTGTATTTGCAGAACCCTTTGACTGTCTATGTGTGCAGAACTAATTCACATGGAACCAAAATACATGGTGCATTCAATGAATGAATTCATCTCAAATTCTTTCTTTTCATTAGATTACTTCACGTTGAAGAATTGTAGAGTATTTTTCCTGGTAGTATACCTTCAATCCTTTTTTTTTTCCCCCATCATAGACCAGATACATAAGATTTCCTTCTTTGAAAAAGAACTTTTTCTCTTTTTTTTCACTTAACAGAACAATGAAGTGCTTTAGAGAAACTAGGGAACCTTGCATTAGGACAGTGGAATTCCCATTGGTGTCACTTATTTAAAGTGTGTTTATTCTGTTTTAAATTTTCAAATATTTTTTCAGAAGCATAAAGACATAAAATTTTTTGAGTTGCACAATTAACTTGAAAGTGTAAGAACCATCGTTATAGTAGAAATAAACAATGACATGTCCTCATCTGGTATCAAAGAAATACTTATGGCTAATAATATTCCCTCTGATTGCATCTGTATTTGATTATTCTAATTTATTAAACAGGAATAATAATATGCAAATAAAGAGGCATTATTTCAGTTTAGAATTCAGGCTGTTAATACAACCTTTCACTTTGCATAGGACTTTGCTAATACTTTATATATGTGTCAGTGCATATGATGTTCTGAAAGAATAGAGTGTTTTGGAGCAGCATGGACGTGATTGGGAAGGCAACTTGCAGGGATCCAGTGTACAAATGATTTCTTCAGTGATCTGACACAGCACCATTCGTTATCTCTTCATATCAGTGTTTAGTATTACTTCCACAAAGCAAAGAGTTAAGAGGATAAAGTAAAAGATAATTTTAGGCTTGTCTTTGAAGCCAAACCTTATGTACAGTAAGTGCCTTCTTCAGGTTGTCTTTATTTTCCTTTATGTAATTGTTCGTCTAACTGTCTACATTTGTATTTCTCTCCAGCCTAGATTTAGGAGCTTTGTTGAATAAGAAAAAAATCCTTAAAATCTGTTTGCATTATTATCTATTTTCCAATATTTGTTTATTTCATTCATTGGTCATGATTTTTAAATCATGCTACTAGGCAAGGTAGAATAAATATTTTTTAAAATATTGTGTTTCATGAGCTGCTTCATATTATGCCTGGCACTCATGAAAATATCAAATAAGTGATTGAAAAAACCATTGTATTAGAGTTTGGAACCTTTTCTGTAATAAACATTAGTGTTTAAAAATTCTTTATGTAATTATTGTCACTTGCAAATAGCTTGAACAATTTGAGTTCCCTTAAACTCTATAATTCCTCAACCATATATCGTGATATTTTTGTTGCCATCAGAAACTTCCAACTAAGTGAAGAAGATCACTGGATTTACCAGGCTGTTTTAGATCAATATCCTGGAGATCTTGTTGGCAGAAGAACTTTGTATCTGGACATGTTACAAAGATATTTTCCTCACAAATCTAGGCATGATTTGGTGAGTGCTAAATCCTTCCTTCATACAAGCAGGTTGAATTGTTTCAATAGTCAATAATTACTGGCTATGCACTTTTGTAATTGTTTTAAATATAGCGAGTCACAACAATCATGTGTATAGAAGTTTATATATCATCCTATAGAAACTCCTTTAGCATACATAACAGTGGGTGAAACACTATTGTTATCCTTAATTTCCAAAGAAGAAATGGAAGCAAAGTCCATGCAGCTACTGTGACTATCCTGTCTCATACTTTTTAATCCTCCCCCCAAACTCCCAACAAGTATTCATTTTGATTATGGTCTCTAATAGATACCTGTTATGTAATAAATAATTCACTCTAGAATTTAAAAATTCTCAATTTATTGAATTAGAGCTTTCTCTTTGTTCCTTATCAATTTGTTTGCTTCTGCAACTAGCTATCATAATGAACTTTGTAGATTTTTGTTTTTCTACTATTAGTGTGATAGTGTTTGCATGGTATATGCTTCATTTCTTGATGTTTACAAGTGTTAAGTATATTTTTGGCTTTATGGAACAGAGCTGAGAAGTGTACAGAACAGATTCTAGTAGCTGATACCTGGTTTAAGTGAGAGTGTAGTCTGTTTTGTCAGGTACCTAATCAATCATACCTAAAGTATTACATTAGGTGGGGCAAACTTTATCTTGCTTGCTAGCTTCTTTTCTCACACTGTTTAGGGATTAAATAAGATGTCAAACTCAGAGATGTGGAAGACACACTTTTGCATGAGGAGCTTTTCAGAATCACCTGTGGAGATTTTTCAAACTACTCAGGCTCTTTTCATTCCTGTCCTTTCCCCTCAAGATTCTGATACTTCCCATATTTGAGAGTCATTGCTGTAAGGAGCTCCTGCTACTGTACTAATGTGAGAGTGTCATGTCCTTCCAGAGTGTACAATGGGAAGGGCTAGATGTCACTACTATATTTGCTTTAATTTTAAGAATCTGAGAGTTCTGATAATTAAGGATAAAACTGTTAATTTTCAGGATTATTATAGCAATTTTTAATTTTTATTGGCATGTTGTCTAACTGGAACACTAGATGAGACTGTCAAAACTGATTTAAGCATGGTGTGTTGAAAAAACATTATATATTGGGGAAAATATTGCTTTCTATTCTTTGAAGCACTACTGTTTAGAAGTGGAAGTTGTTTTATAGGTCACTTAACTGACTTCATTTTCCTTTAGGAAACTGAAGACTTATATACATTAAATGACTTGTTCTCAGTTACCAGTTAGCTACACACTCTAAAAGCTGAAGCTAGTACCTGGCTATTGTGTCTGCTATTAAGAAGTTTATGTTTAATTTTTCAAAATCATTAGTTATAATTAGTTTTATTCATTTTTACAACAGTGACGTAAAATATAGGCCCATTTTCATATTGATAAGTGTTCACCATCTGCTACCTTTTCAGGTACAGCATGAGAAATATTGTGACCAATATCACTTTGCTAGGGAGCAGCGAAGGATCTTGATAGAAAACTGGAGTAAGAATAGGAAAGACTTTATACAGAAGGCAGCATTGACCCTCCTTGAGGCCTCTGCCACTTATGAAATGGAAAGCACATTGGCAAAGGACAGGAAAAAGCAACAGGAATTGTGTGCTGATCTGAAAGCCAAGGTAAGATGTTTCTTGGGTCTTTGGCTATTTGCCTAGGTATTCATTTAAGAACCTACTTTTCCTGTTGTTCAAATCCAACCTAAGGTTGAGTTTCTCCAGAAAGCCTACCTTGAATAAAGCTGTTTGCTTAAACCATTAAAATTCAATTCTTTAGGCCCAAATTAGTCAACAATCAACAGTTTCATAAGGTTCAACCTAAAGTTACTATAACAGAATGTTAACATTGAAAAAATTTTGGCTTTTAAAAATTTAATGAAAAAATAAAACAAACTTTCTTAACAAAATAATAAAAGAATAACAATAGTTAATATATGGTGTATCATTATCTTCAAAGAAGTTTGTAAATTGACATTTTGATGGAGATGTTCAACACCCACCATACAGGCTGCAGGCCAGAGTTTGATGCTGTGTGCCATTGAAGAATGTAGTCATAAAGTAACTAATTCTGAGTCAAACGTGTACTGATAAAAATAATTGTAAAAGGCTCTTGGACTTCTCATTCACATAAGAGATATAAAAAAGTCAAGTTATGTAAAAGGGAAAGGATTCATGTGAAGGTATGTTGGAGCAAGCTTGCTGGGCTGTGTATGAGCCTCAACAAGGTATAGGGGAGTAGATGGGATTTTCCTCCTTCTCAGACCCAAGAAGGGGGCCTTTCTGGTAACCCTTAGTTGGAAGGATTGAGGGCTGGTGTCTGATGCTTGTGGGGAAAAACAGAGGAGCTGCCTTAGTGGCAGAATGACAGCATGAGCAATAGCTGTGTTGGGAGTGACTTCTATCCCCAGACTGGCCACGGGTGCTGGCATCTTGGAGGCCTGGTGCTCCCGTCGGAGGGTTGGCAGGGGTCATTAATACTACTGAGGTACGGCATGAAGTGCACAGTAAAGTGCTGTCTTGATTTAATAATAAATGATGTGGTAGGAGAATGATGGCACAACAAGAAATTGAATTCTTTTGAAGAAAAAATCCCCAACATGGCAGACCTTATGTAGCAATTGATAGCATGTAAAAGCAAATGTCTCAGTTTTAAAAGGTAAGAGGAAAAGTGCTTGCTCTGAATGATTTTTAAAAGTTATTTCTTTTCACATTTCATAAGTTTGGGGTCTACAAGGAATAGAAGTTGCATTGAAACTGATCTTACTACAGGCTCCAGAGCTACTACATGTTTCTTCTCCATTGTAGACTGATAGGAAACACAGGGTCAGTGGTCATAACAAGTTTTGTACTCCTAGTCGGTTTTTACTAAGTTTGCACATATTATCATTAGCCCTTAAGCTACTCTGCAAGTGTATATTCTTTGTATTGTCCTGGGTTGCAATGTGTTGTGTTGTATTGTATTGTACTGAAGTAAGCATATGTGTAATACAGTGCACAGTACATAAGTATGTTATTATACGAAGTTTTGCCTATATACACCCCCATGTAAGTACCATCCAGATTAAAATAGAGGATGTTTTCTGCAGCTCAGAAGGTTTCCTCATGACTCTTCTCAGTACATACTACCTTCACCTGAAACCACTCTTCTGACTTCATCATAGATGAGTTTTATCTGTCCTAGAACTTGATGTAGATCAAATCATACAGCAAAGCTCCTTTATGCTTCTTGTGCTCATCATATCTGTTTTATTGCATGTTACCATCATGTATTCTTTTCATTCTTGTGTTGTACCTCATCATTTACATATAACACAATTTATATTTCTTGTTAATGAAAATTTTCATTGTTACCAGATTTTTGCTATTATGACACTGGTCCTATGAGCATTCTTTGGTGTGTCTTTTTATTAGGCAAATGTACTCATCTCCATTGGATAAATACACAGGAACAGAATTGCTGGATTATAGGTTTAGGTGTTTTTTGTTTTTGTTTTTTTTGTACTGGGGATCAAACTCAGGACCTTGTGCTTGGGAGGCAGGTGGCAGAACCACTGAGCTAAATCCCTGGCCCAGGTTTAGGTGTTTTTAAGTGTAGTACATATTGCCAAAATAGTTTCCCAAAGTGGTTATGGACATTTGCAGCCAGTTTCAGTTGCTCTACATCTCAGCAACTTTGGTATTGTGAATCCTTAATTTTAGCTAATCTGTTGGCTGAGTAGTGATAACTCATTATGTTTTTCACTTGCATTTAGACTAATGGGTTCAAGCATCTTTTCATTATTATCCTATTGGTTATCCTCTTTTGTGAAATGTCCACTCAAGTCATTTACCCATTTTTCTCTTGGGTTTTCTGCTTTTTTCTTATACATTTGTATGCTCTTTACATATTCTATATAGAAGTTCTTTTGTTTTCTCCCAGTCAATGGTTTGCACTTTTACTCTTTTTTTTTTGTATTAAATTCTTTTATTGGTATATTGTAGGTATACAACACAATTACATTTCTCATTGGGAATTGTACCTTTATATAATGCATCTTGGTTCTTATTTTT